TTCATCATAATGTGGGAACATGTCACACAGTGCCTCGTTAATGTGTTTTTAATATTTTTTGGTCAACAGTGGAGCTCTACACACTCGGGCTGGGTGATATAGCTGAAAAATGTATCACAATAAAATGTTTCATTTCAGTTAATAGCAATATTTATTGTGAATGTTGTATGACCTCTTCTTAACAAAGACCAGGTGGAAAACAGGGAGAATTTACTCACTTTAGGTAATAATTGTAATGTTTTGTCATTGTTGCTGAGTGCCTCTCCATTGTGGACTGCCTGTGGATTGTTTCTTGGGATGTAACAGATGAAGGTCGTGACTGACAACATGTTGCGTACTCCAAAGGGTGGAAGCAGCTATGGTGATTCACTCATAGGACGCTACGTTATCAAGCGATATGTTATGCTGTTTATGTATCATATTTGTTCATGGTGGTTTGCATTTAATGCATTTAAGTGACACTAAAGATATTCCATTGAACAATTTTGTTATAACTATTGATGAAGTGTCTATTGCAAATACATATTGCTATTGTTTGATTGCCCAGCCCTATAATGCACAGAAGAGGGAGAAGGATTTGGCCACACACACACACACACACACACATACACACACAATACTTATTAATATTATAGAATATCCCCAGATTTGAGAGAATGTATAAGAATCTGTATTCTGTTCATAGGTTTCACACTTTTCACTGTTAATCTGCCAATCTACAGTATAGACTGTTATGGAATAACTAAATATTATGAGACGGGGACCCCTGAGACTACATCTTATCAAATACTGGTCTGTGGCCTGATGTGTATCGATTTGGGGGACACCAAAAGGTTGAGAAGCACTGCTTTAATTATCGTCACCATGATGGTCATTTTGAGGTTGTAGCTCGTTGTGTTGTTGCATTGAATGACTTTACATTGTAAAGTGTTTGTTACAATTTGCTCCCTCACACTGTATATGTAAACAAAGTGGATAAAACATTAGAAATACCTTTCAATATAGTGCATACATGTCAAAGAATTGATATAATACAAACCAGTCACCTTGTATTGCATTGCATAACAAGGGCTATATTTTTCTGGTTACTCAGTGTATTAAAATGCACCATTACATAATATAATTTTAGACAGTACATGTCCTCATAATTCAATCTGACCTGAAAGAGTATAAAATATAGTTCTATAGGTTCGAATAACGCTGAATAATGATGAACCGGCCAAATGTCTGTGCAGCTGAAGAGATTAAAAGGTCGGTTGACCAAAATGACTAAAAAAGCATATTTCCTCTCTTACTACTGAAGTATCTAACCATGCAAATAGTTTTTCTTTTATTTGCCCAGGTTTTAAGATATCTAGAATTTTGTTTTGTTGCTTACAGCCTTAAAAATTATATTTAAAAATCCACAGAGCTGCTCCTGTCAACAGTTCTTTGACTATTTCTTAAGTAGAGAGTCATTACAATTAAAACAGTTGACAGTGTGTCACTTTTCAATGCTGCGAGCACCACAAACTAAATTTTGTTCAACTTAATTGTATTGGGCAACAGAAATCTTAGAAATAGCTATTTCAACACAATTTAGGTGATAAATTTAACCTAAAATTGTTCCTAATTAAAAACCTTGACCCTAGATTCACATGCTAACCCTAAAAGAAGTCTTGACGTCACTTTGTGAAAACTCCAGTGCTCCCAGAGTTAAGCTGGGCCTGATTTCCACACATTTAGAAGATGAAGCCACACACACACACACACAGACACACATGTTGAGCCTGTGTCTGGATGTACAACCAGTGTCCTCACCTCAACGTCTCACGTGGAAAATGTCTTTTATGTGTGGTTGCTGTCTGGACTGCGACACAGGTCCTGGTTTCCTTATGCCTGCCAGCGCAGGGTCAGAGAGTTTGATTGACTTGTGCCTTGACTCACTCTGGCTTCCAGGAACTCTCCACCATCAATACACATCATCATCATCGCTCGCCAGCCGTGTGTGTCTGTCTGTCTGTGTTTGTGTGTGTGTGTGCTTTCTCAACCAGTGCAGCACAGTGTGTCTCTCAGTTGAATCACATGGTTCGGCTTTTCCCCCGCGTGCCTGCTGCTTGGCCTATTTCCATGGTAACTAGCCGAAGATGTGGGGACACACACACACACACACAACACACACACATACAGGCCACATGAACAGCGCTTGTGCGAGGGCTTGCCAGAGCGATCTCGGTTGTGTGTGGCTGTAGGGTGCAGTCAGAGAGAGGATGTGTGATCACACACTCCACACAGGCTCAGCAGGAGACACACACACTCACACACACACACATACACACACTGTATGCTGAGACAGAAGCTCAGGATGCTGTGCTGTAGAGGAAAAATGGCACACAGGGGCATGCCAGCCAAATCCCTTTATAAATCCTCTGGCAATTTGGATTTGTTTGTTTATGGATGAATGTATCAAATGTGAATTCTGAGTTTTTCATTTAGATAGATAGAAAGATAGATAGAAAGATAGATACTTTATTTATCCCGAGGGAAATTCAAGTATCCAGTAGCATACAAGATACATTACATACATTACATATATTAAACATACATTAAACTAAAATTGAGAGCCTTAACCCTTAGAATAAAATTAAAAATAAAGATAAAAATATGAAATATTATATATAATATATATAATATATAAAATTAACAGTAGGATTCATCATCCTTCCAAATTCCCCAAATCTCCCAAATTCCTCCAGTTCAGACAGCTGGAATCTTCATGTGTCTTTATGAATCAAATAAATAATAACTATATAAATAAATTATTTATATTTACTTTGTTCTATTAAATTCATCATATGCGTAGTTGTGATTTTTCCTACAGCGCCTGAATGCGGCAGACGTTCATCACGCAGCCGATGACGTAGGCGCACCGGGCCGACCGGAAGCATGTTGGATGTTTTTCGGTCATTTCCTCTTCTTTGGGCTCTTCGTCCTCTTTTAAAATTGCCCTCCGTGAAGAAACGGCGACAGAAAGAGAGAGAAAGAGACAGAAACAACACCTTTGTGGAACATCTGTCGACGAAAACGGCGCGTTTCCACCGCTGACGGGCTGGAGCTGTCATGGCAGACGGTCTGCAGATGTAGGTGAGTGATAACAACATGAGGTTTATACTGTAAAGGTGTAACTGTAACTCGAGTGTCTAACTAAAACAGTCATTAATAGCCTGTTGTAAGCGAATGTGGGAAACACATGCATGTATTCTGCGTTTGTTCCCGTCCATTTGGTTTCATGCAACAGTTTTATCTTATATAACTTGGGGGGGGATAAGCCTATTTGCTCCTCCTCTAATGGCCTATATTGCTGCGGGAGTGATACTAAAACACACCGCGTT